TTGGCTTCTTACCAACGGAGGAAGATTTTAGGCAAAATATAATGGCTATGGGTCAACTTTTCAACGACCAACGAAGGAGATGACGAGGTTATTGGATTTATTTTTACTCGGATGAGTTTGCCCCTCCTAACCCCAAGTCTTTAAGTTTGCTTCATATTCATTTTAAAGGACAAGACGGAGAAATAAGAGTTTATTTATCAGCAGAAAAATATTTAGAAATTGAAGAAAAATGAGGAATAGTTCCCAAGTATGAACGAACTAAAATAATAAGATTTGTAGAAAGAAATAAGCACGACATTTTAAATAAGATAGAAAGTGAATTAAGAAAGATAGGAGCAAAAAAATAGATAATATGGTAAGATTTAATAAAATTAAAAGTAAACAAGAACAATTACCCAAAGAGATACTACCAGCCAAAGTAATTAGTTGCCAAATAAAAGAGGGAAAATTAATAACTCAATTAGAGGACGGGAGAGAAGTTAGTATTTTGGTATCTCTACTTGCTGAACGGAGTATTTTAGATAAAAATGTTAAACCCGAACAATTAGAAAAGTGGGAACTCCAAAATGAAGGAAGATATATTTATTTTCCCCTCATAGATGAAATACTGCCAGCCTGGATAATAAGCCAAGGTTTACATTCTTGTTAATATACTCATGCCAACCATTAAAGACAAATATCCCACTTACCAAGACTTTTGAAATAATTACCGACAGGGTTATTTTGACACCAATAAAGACCTAATAACCCGAACCATTGCCGTTTCTTTACTTCATAATCTCTACCATTATTGAGGTTCTTCCCATATGAACCCGAAGAGGGAGTGTTTTATGGCAAGTTCTTCGGTCAAGCCAACACCGACATTATTAGAAATAGCCAACAGCACGAAATTATTATCTTTATCGGCAAAGTCTTAAAAGATAAGAACCTTTTTAAGCAAGAAAGCAAAACCGAACACAGTAAAGAAAATGAAAAAATAAAAACTAATCCCCAACATACTGACTTCATAAATATTCCTTACACCCAAGGAGAGGATATGTTATCGGATACTTACGGCCGAGCCCAATTATTAAAACAGCAACAAAGACAATTAAAAACTATTGAAAAAGAAATCACCAAAGGACGACGAATAGCCAATGAGGACGGTTCCATTGCTTATAAAGATACTTACGAGAAAACCGAGGCTTGGGGAGATAAAACTTTTTTGGGGAAA